ATGACCTGAACCAAAGGCAGATGCTTAACTGGCTGAGCTACCCAGTCACCCCTTAATTTTTTTTTAAGATTTTATTTATTCATTTGAGATGCACAGAGAGAGAGAGAGGGCAAACATGAGCAGCAGGAGGAGGCAGAGGGAGAGGGAGAAGCAGACTCCTTGCTGAGCGAGGAGTGGATGCAGCATTTGATCCCAGGACCTGGAGATCATGACCTGAGCCAAAGGCAGATGCTTAACCATCTGAACTCCCAGGTACCTTCAGGTAGTGATCTGAAAGAGATTTCCTTAAATATCTGGAAACAAACAAAAGTACTCTACTAGTCTTTGCAAGTTGGCTTTGTGTTGAGGTACTCCTTCAACACTTGTCCAAGCTATTTAGAACTCTGTTTTCACCTGCTGCTTGTGCAGAACCTAGAAGTCTGCAAGGGGCACAAACTTAGGGTCTTTTGCGAGCATGTGTCCAGCCCTCGGCACATGTGTGGCCTTCTGGATTTCCTGGTATGTGTAGTAGCTTTGCATAGCTCTTACTCCCCACTGTATTTCCTTCTCCAGCCTCTTCCCAAACTCTGGTCTGTCTATTCCTTGCCTCATCTGATTTTCCTTGCCTCAGGTGGCTATGGTTAGGAGATATGCCTTTAAATAGTTTTGACAGGGACGCCTGGGTGGCTCAGCAGTTGAGTGTCTGCCTTTGGCTCAGGGCATGATCCCAGGATCAAGTCCCATATTGGGCTCCTTGCAAGGAGCTTGCTTCTCCTGTCTCTGCCTCTGTCTATCATGAATAAGTAAATAAAATCTTGAAAAAAATACTTTTGACAAATGATATCCAGGAAGCTGCTTCAGCCCTAAAAAAGCTCTGAGGCAGGTAAAAGAAAGTCAGGTTCCTGGGCCTGTCCCTCAAGGAGCCACCAGGCACAACCATCATTTATTCATTATTCATTTATTTATTTATTTATTTATTTATTTATTTATTTATTTATTTATTTATTATTTTATTTTATAAATTAATTTTTATTGGTGTTCAATTTACCAACATACAGAATAACACCCAGTGCTCATCCCGTCAAGTGTACCCCTCAGTGCCCGTCACCCATTCACCCCCACCCCCCGCCCTCCTCCCCCTCCACCACCCCTAGTTCATTTCCCAGAGTTAGAAGTCTTTATGTTCTGTCTCCCTTTCTGATATTTCTCACACATTTCTTCTCCCTTCCCTTATATTCCCTTTCACTATTATTCATATTCCCCAAATGAATGAGAACATACACTGTTTGTTCTTCTCCGGTTACTATGGCCAAGTTCAAAAAGGGTGTTGCCTGAGTTCTCCTCTGGGATTTTGATGGAATCTTGTCTCACATTTAGATCTTTCATCTATTTTGAGTTTATCTTTGTGTATGGTGCAAGAGAGTGGTCCAGTTTCATTCTTCTGCATGTGGATGTCCAATTTTCCCAGCACCATTTATTGAAGAGAGTGTCTTTCTTCCAGTGGATCGTCTTTCCTCCTTTATCGTATATTAGTTGACCATAAAGTTCAGGGTCCACTTCTGGGTTCTCTGTTCTGTTCCATTGATCTATATGTCTGCACAACCATCATTTTTTGACAATAGGTCTGTATTGTTCCTTCTGTTACCAGCGAAGAACGTGACCAGAAATGGAGCTGTTGTATTCATGGCTATGGACAAGCTGGGATGTGAGGGATGGTGGGTAGTTAAAATGTCACAAGACTCCTTTACCAAATTCAACAGCTTCTTTCTTCCTTAAGCATTCTTCTGATTGTTATAAGTTTTTTTTTAAAAGGTTGATTTATTTGAGAGACAGAGAGAGAGAGAGTGGGGTGGAGGGGCAGAGGCAGAGGGAGGGAGAAACTCAAGCAGGCTCCATGCCCAGGACAGAACCCAACAACGGGGCTCAATCTTACGACCCTGAGATCACGACCTGAGCTGGAACCAAGAGTTGTATGTTTAATCCACTGTGCCACCCAGATGTCCCATAAGTTTTTAAAAATTAGATTCCAGAGTCATGAAAAAGTTGATTCTGACAGTTTTTGACAGCCAAATCATTATTTTAGTGGAGAGACAAGAGTTTTGGTGTTCCCAACTCTGCCATTTTTAGTGGTTATTCATTAAATCTGGAGATTCTTGAGGCACCTGGGTGGCTCAGTGGTTGAGCATCTGCCTTCAGCTCAGGTCGTGATCCCAAAGTCCTGGAATCGAGTCCCACATCAGGCTCCCCATGGGGAGCCTGCATCTCTGTGTCTTTCATGAATAAATAAAATATTTAAAAATAAATAAATCTGGAGAGTTCTCAGTCATTTTCGCTCTGAGTATTTCTACTCCATTCTTATGAGTGAGTCTCTTCTTCTAGAAGTCCTATTAGGCTTATGATGGACTTTCTCATTCCATTTTCTCTGACTCAGCTTCTCTCATATTTTCTGTCTTTATCTCTCAGTGCCATATTCTGGGTAATTTCCCCACATCTCCCCCCCCCCACATCTTTTGGTTTGCTAGTTCTCCAGCTTTGTCTAATATGCTTTATAGCACATTATTGACAGTTTTATTTCAATAACTATGTTTAATTCTAGATACCATATTTTATATTTTAAAAAAGATCTTTTTATTCTGTCTTCAGAATGTCTTATTCTGTTGTTAGGGCTCTGTTTATTTATTTTTTTAAGATTTTATTCATTTATTCATGAGAGACACAGAGAGGCAGAGACACAGGCAGAGGGAGAAGCAAGCCCCCCCGCAAGGAGCCTAATATGGGACTTGATCCCGCATTCCGGGATCATGCCCTGAGCCCAAGGCAGACACTCAACCACTGAGTCACCCAGGCGTTCCTCTGCTTATATCTTTAATTATTTTAAGTATATTTATTATTTTAAGACAGCTCTTCTATCAATCTCATATTCTCAGGGTTCTAATCCTCCCATTTGTTAGGTTTGCTGATTCTCAATTATTAGACATGGGGATTTTAAAATCAGGCATTTTGTAGTTTTGAACTGTGAACTCATTTTTGACAAGTCTCCCCCTCCTCCCCTGCTGCCTCCACCTCTCCTATGGGTATCTCTTTATACTTCGATTGTGACTTTGCATTTGTTTCTGTCAGGAGTTCCAAGGACATCATCAGAACATCATTAAATTAGAATTAATTTTTATGCTAATTCCCAGGCACAAGTCTTCTAGGCTTGTGCCTACATTTAAAGATGAAAGTAGTAAAAATTCAAACCAAATCTGTACAAAATTCAGGTTCAAAATTTCTGTTTTCTCAAGGTAAGTGTGTGTGTGTGTGTGTGTGTGTGTGTGTGTGTTTCAGTTCAAAGCTCAGACAGAAGTGAACATGCCTTCTTATTCTTCTGTGTGGGGGAAAGGTATCTTCTCTGCCTGTCTTTTCCCTAAGGGGGCAGTCCTTTCAGGGTGCTGGCTTATGCAGGGGTCTCAGTTCTAAATCCCCATTTTGCTTAAGACCAAGGCCTCTCACCTCCTGTAACTTATGAGTGCATGAAAATCCATATGGGGTAATACTTTGTGGGCTGTTCACAACCACACTTCAGTAGCTTATTTGATCACTGCCCTGTTTTTCATTGCTGGCATTTGTTTCTTTTCTTCTTTTTTTTTTTTTTCTTTTTCTCTTTTTTTGCTGGCTCGGTCATTCAGCTACAGCAGTTGTGTTTACATTTTCCCTAGTCGTTTTAGCTAAGTGCAGCAGGAGGATTTTCAGAGTTTATTGATTTTTCATTTCACTGGAACTGAAAATATCTTCTCAAGTTCCTTGGAGTCAGCCCTCTGCCTTTCTACTCTATCTTCTGTTTATTCCTTTTCCCAAGAGTCTTATTTGGTCCTCCTCTCCTTTCTCCCTGTATTGGGGGGTCCTCACCTACCCTGCTGATACCTATGAATCCCTAGGCCCTGATCACTTTTGACAAGGAAGCAGGACAGAATGCAGTTAGGGACTCAGACTTTACTGGTAAAGCTGGATTTGAATCCTTTTTCTTGCCGCTTACTAGCTGAGTTATCTGGAGGTAAGTTACTTGGTTATCCTGAGACCATTTTATGTGTAAAGTGCGTGAAGCCTTGAGTTTAGGGCTCTGGAGGCATGCTGGGAATATGCAGTGACATGGGAGTTTGGTGGATGTGCTCTGTGATTACACAGATGATGGGTAGGGATTCAAGTCCCTACACCCTCAGGCACAGCATCAAGCACTTTGTAATTATTTCTCAGGCACAATCCCATGAGAGATTATTACTGTCCTCATGTTACTGATGAAGGAAACAGGCTATAGGTGGTTAACTTGCCCAGCTCCTGTTCCAATGGATGACTACTTTGGGCTGAACATTCTTCTGGGCTTAACATTATTTTATTTATTTATTTATTTATTTATTTATTTATTTATTTATTTATTTATTTATTTTAAGAAAGAGAACACGTGCATGGCAGGGGAGGGGGCAGAGGGAGAAGGAGAGAGAATCTTAAGCAGGCTCCATGCCTACTGCAGAGCCTTACAGGGGCTCGATCTCAACCCTGAGATCATGACCTGAGCAGAAATCAAGTTTGGATGCTTAACCGACTGGGCCATTCAGGTGCCCCTACACTTAACATCTTTGGTTTTCTCCTTTGATTTCTGGGGGTGGGGTACCTTCTGGGGTGATCTCCCCATTCAAATGTGAGCTGGCACAGAAGAGGGAGGAACAGCTCGTTGCTGTACCTCACCTGCTGTGGTGGAGAGCATAGCCTCAGGAAAGCAAAGACCTCTTCCTTTGACCACTAGATACATAAGAGCCGCCACCATCCCCACCCCCAAGCTGGACTTTTTGAGAGCCTTTTCTACCTAACTTCAGCTGCCCTATCCCGGCTCCTAGCCCCACCGGAGGTGCTGAGCTCATGCCCTCGGCACAAGTATGTTGGGGGGGGGGGAACGAATGTGTTGCTCTGTTCACAGTCACTTCCATTTACCAAGACACATGCGTGAAGGCACAGTAGTCCCACGCACTCCCTACCTCCTCACTTACCGAAATCGGCCACAGGATGAAAGGCATGTATCTGTTGATGGCGAAGGTGTAGATAATGAAGAAGAAGCAGAAGACGGACAACTCCATGGTGATGATGAGTGTCAGGAGAGGGTGCACGGTGGTCCCGGTGAACATTATCATCGAAGCTATTAGGCAGCTCTGCTGGGAGACATGCACCTGAGCCATGGCAAAGGGCTCTCCTCAGCCCTCCAGCTCCTCGGGGCCCATCTGGAGCGAGCTCCTTCTCTCTCCCCATCGTTCTCCACCACCGCCCCCCCACCCGGTACCAGCCCGACTTACCAAGCTCAGGATCTTGACCTCGGCGTGCCCCATAACCCAGAACTCTCTATTGCTGTCCTTGAGTTCCCACTTGTAGCGACGACACCCCTTCCTCGTGCCCACTTCATCCTTGGGCTGCACCGACTTCTCCTTTTTCTTGGGCTCCTCTTTCTCGTCCTGGTCCTGGGGTTTGGCGCCCGGCGGAGGGGGCGGAGGCGCGGCTGCGGCCGGGGCGGGGGCCGGGGCGGGGGCCGGGGCGGGGGCCGGGGCGGGGGCCGCCGCTTTGCCCTTCTTGCCTTTGTCAGCCATCTTTGCGTGGGAGTTGTCACCGCCTGCCGGATCTCTCCTGCTGTCCCCGGACAGGCCTGGCCTCTGAGCCAGCCTGGTGCCACCACCCGCTCAGAGGTCCCGCTCGGCCAACGGCCAGGCCCGGCGAACGCCAACGCCCCGGCGCCCCCCACGCGCCGCGGGTGCCCGCGCGCCCTCACCTGGCTGCGCCGTCACCTGGCTGCGGCCTCACCTGGCTGCGCCGTCACCTGGCTGCGCCGTCACCTGGCTGCGCCGTCACCTGGCTGCGGCCTCACCTGGCTGCGGCCTCACCTGGCTGCGCCGTCACCTGGCTGCGCCCTCACCTGGCTGCGCCGTCACCTGGCTGCGCCGTCACCTGGCTGCGGCCTCACCTGGCTGCGGCCTCACCTGGCTGCGCCGTCACCTGGCTGCGCCCTCACCTGGCTGCGCCGTCACCTGGCTGCGGCCTCACCTGGAAGCGCCGTCACCTGGCTGCGCCCTCACCTGGCTGCGGCCTCACCTGGCTGCGGCCTCACCTGGCTGCGCCGTCACCTGGCTGCGGCCTCACCTGGCTGCGCCGTCACCTGGCTGCGCCGTCACCTGGCTGCGGCCTCACCTGGCTGCGCCGTCACCTGGCTGCGCCGTCACCTGGCTGCGGCCTCACCTGGCTGCGCCCTCACCTGGCTGCGCCCTCACCTGGCTGCGCCGTCACCTGGCTGCGCCCTCACCTGGCTGCGCCCTCACCTGGCTGCGCCGTCACCTGGCTGCGCCCTCACCTGGCTGCGCCCTCACCTGGCTGCGGCCTCACCTGGCTGCGCCTTCACCTGGCTGCGGCCTCACCTGGCTGCGCCCTCACCTGGCTGCGCCGTCACCTGGCTGCGGCCTCACCTGGCTGCGGCCTCACCTGGTTGCGGCCGCCCCGCGCACTGCGAGGACCCGGGCCGTGTCGGGCGGGTGCCGCCAGCGCCGCACACCTGCGAGCCGGAGCCCCCGCCCCGCCCTGGCGCCCCCCCCCCGCCCCGGGTCAGGGCCTTGGCCACCCGCCCCTGGGCAGCCTCGTCCCGCGCCGCGCGCGGGCTCAGCGGCCGCGGAAGAAGGTAACTCGACTTTTACACAAGGCAACACGAGGAAGCACATGTTCCCAACTTAGCAGCCCTGACTTTATGATGACATGTGGGCCGGGATGGGTGACAGCATGCAAGCTCAGTGCTGGGATTAGCGAGAGGGACGAAGCACCAACGTTTATGTCCGTGCGGGTGTCCGCAAGGATGGCCGCGAGGATGGCACCGAGGATGCTGGCACCGAGGATGGCCGCGAGGATACCATTGAGGACACCTGGGGGGGTGTGCGCCTGGCGTCCGAGGTGGGGGTTTTCGCGGGTGCTTTCGCAGGTGCTCTCGCGGGTGCCGGCGTGCCCGCTTTTGCGGGTGCCTTCTCAGGTGCTTTCGCGGGTGCCGGCGTGCCTGTTTTCGCAGGTGCTTTCCCAGGTGCCGGTGTGTCTGCTTTCGCGGGTGCTGGTGTGGGTGCTTTCGAGAATAGCCTCCAGAATGACTTGGTTTCCTGTGCTTTCTCAGGGATGGGTTCCAGGAGCAGGGAGGCATTGGTGTCTAATTCGATTCCCAGGAATCTTTTTATTTTCTCCCTCATGATCTTGGTGGCCAGCATCGCATCCAGGACACACACCATTGCCGCCATGAGACACTGGATCTGTCAGGCATAAGACCATATGTGGGAGGGGAAAGGCTAGGTTATTTTGCAGCTTAGCCGCAACCTTTTATATTCCATCCCAGGATGCTGCAGGTGGCCGCCTGCCCCTTCTGCCCCTGCACTATCTCTTGGTGTCTGCCTAGCTGATGCTGTGGCACATTTTGCCATTCCGAGAAAAGGATTTGGAAATGGTAGCTTTGCTGCCAGTAATGACCTCTCCTGATGCCCGAGGCACCAGGGAAGGACCAGAGGAAAGAACTGGCCTAGGAGGCTCTGGATAGGTATGAGGTCCTGAGGAGGCCCTTAGTAGAAAAGACTCCTGGGCTGTGTTTGAAAAGGGCAGGAGGGAGTTCCCAAGAGGACCAACGGGGAGGAAGAGAACTTCAACTACAGGGCAGGAGTCTCCAGAGAGTGTGATATGGCTGAGACCTCTGGGGCTGGTGAGGGGAGGCACAGAGTTGAGGCTACGAAGTGCAGAATTTGGGACCGTCAGAGGAGATACCAGGTGCCAGATTCAGAAAGCCCACTTGCAGTGGCCATGAGGTGAACAGAACCAGAGGCAGGGACACCAGTGGGGTGCGGTGGGGGCTCCTGCCATCCAGGTAGGAATTGATGAGGAGACCAGAGGGTGGGAGCCCCTCCCAGGTAAGAGAAGGCTGGGTGGCTGAGTTAGCTGATGGGGAAGAGCAGACCATAGCACCCAAGATTCTATATGCTCCTCAAATCCTGTCTGCTCTGGATGTTTGTCTTTACTGTCTCTTAATCTTTGGCTGCTTGAATGAACTTTTCCCAGATAGGTCTTGTCCCAGCTAATCTGTGAGCTCCTATAGGGATAAGGGGCTCTACCCCCAACACTAAGATTGAGCCTGGCACAATCCAATGGGACTGACAGATATTTACTGATTATGGAACAAATTCAAAGAATTCAAACTTTTTTTTTCTGGATTAATTTCTGTTCCCATTGCTTAAGTTCTTGAACCAAAGTCTCACCTCCCCACTTCCCACCCTCCATCTTCAAAGCATTTAATCAGCCACTTCTTGTGCTCTTCATAGGGTGAGGATTTGAGTCCCACCTTGTCCCAGGCTTGTGAGCCAGGGTAAACTATTTAACCTCAGTTCTCATATCTGTAAAAATGAGAATTGTAAAGATTAAGTCAGAGCATGCCTGGCATGTGCAGGGCACATGTTGGGAGCTTCCTTCCTGAATAGGCTCGGCTGTTCACTTTTTTCCCCCCTGTTCATCTGCTTTTCTTTTTATGTGCTTTTAAAATATAATTCTCTAGTCCAAAAAAATCAAAGTCCCATTTGGAGACAAGAACATTTTGTTGCAACATTTCAAAAAATAGTGTGTACATTTTTCAAAAGAGGAGTCTGTACCTATTTGGAGGATGAGTATTAGAATGAAGATTTTCATGAGTTTAGAGTTTATGCAGCTTCACATCTTCTGAAGAAGTCAGTGCAAGAAGGAGAAGGGGTAAGGATGTTATGTAAATGAAGTAATGATGGTCTGCCAGTTTCCCATTGCAGAGTTTTGAAATACTGATCTTTTTAAAAAGATTTATTTGAGAGAGCCAGCACAAGTGAAAGGGGCAGAGGTAGAGGAAGAGAATCTCAAGCAGACTCTGCACTGACCACTGAGCCCGACATGGGGCTTGATTCCAGGATCCTGAGATCACAACTTGAGCCGAAACCAAGAGTTGGATGGTTAACCAGCTGAGCCTACCCAGGCACCCCTAAAATACTATTCCTAAATGGGGTTATGAAGTCTTCAACTTACCCCTCCAACATAGAATAAATGCCTTCTTTCCATTTCTTGCATCGCCAAGATGGCAACTATTAAAAGGAACATAGCTGTAATGATACTGTTGATAAGATCCTGTAATACAGAATTGAAAACTATCAACTTTATGTAAAAAAGTAATTTCATAAAATATTATTTGTTTTTCATAAAATGTTTAAATTGGTCAATTACCCATCTAAGGATGGATGTCTTTTTAAAACTTTCTCTTTGATTAATATTAAGAGGAACTGTTAGTATAGTTCTTGCACCTTCCATGATGAGTTTATGTCATTTTAAGGTACTGGATAGGACTTTGTCAGCATAACTGGGTTTAATTTCATTAAAGAATCCCATTGAAAAAAAAAAAGAAAAAAAAGTTGACAACATTCCCATCACATGTTCCTTAAAGTCATTAGGGAAGTGAGTGTGAAAAACACCTACCCAAATCAGATCTTCATAAATATTATTTTCAAAAATCTTATATTTTAAATTAATATCAGTTCTGTATTCTACTCCATAATATTTTTTTAATATAAAATTAAATTTTAGATTAGTACTTTACTGATTTAATTGCATTCCCAAACCTGCAGGTAGAACAGATACCCTGGAAGTTAGTTGGGTCATATTTTTTCTGGAGGGTCACATATCAATTGCAAGAAGGCAAGAACCCATCTGAGAAGCAGGCCTGGTATTCTAGAGTGAATGCCTATGGTATTGGCTTTTGTTCTTTCCTAAGAAATGGCCAGAATTGAGTCTGCCCTGGCATCTATAGGCTGCCTTTGTCCTTTCTTCTGGATTTCAGTACTGAGTTCTTTAACTGCTAGCACAATCTTCTGTTTTGTGTGCTAAATAAAGGGTGAGGATAAGTAGATGGGGGGCACTTCTGAAGATAAGCAAAGGCTGGGCTTTGGTAATAGAGCAGTAATGGAAAAGTGGGCACTCAATGTGTCAGTGGCACCAGTGTGGGGAGATAAGTCAAAAGTCCAGGGTGATAGAACCCTGATAGGGCCCAGATATCTAATTGGAATACATTTTAAGTCCTTAAGTCTTGATGTCTTGACTTGGTAGTGTCAGTCTGTCTGGTGCCCCTGCCCAAAATATAGCAAGGAGCCCTGCCATCCAGTGTACAGAATCATAATGGCTCTGATGAAGCTCTTTTCAATGTGGTATTTCCCAGTCATTACCTTATTTAACCCTCACAAGTACCCTCCAAATTCAGTATTGTTATGATCCCTATCTTAAGAGGACATAGCAGAAACTTAGAGAGGTTTATTAAATTGCTTAACATTCAATATCTGCCAAGGAGGGAAATTAGAACTCATCTCACTATTGCCTCCATCAGGGACACTCAAATAAGGAGGAAATGAACTATCATCCCCAAGGTTGGAAGTACACCATCCATCTTGGACATTTTCTGTGAATAATGGGTTATGGAAGGTCAAAATGGTAAGGAACATGTAAGGTGGGAGTGTGTTTTGTTGGTGAACTCTTTTGGCCTGCCAGTTCCTAGATGTGTGACCTGGGACACGTTTTATCATTCCTCTTTGTCAACATGTTCGTTTTTAGATGGGGATAGTGACTGGGATTGATTGGATTGATCTGAGGATTAAATGGTATAATGAATCTGAAAATACCAGCTAAGTACCTGGCATCGTGGGTTGTGGGAGTGCATTAAAGTGTGAACTTGTGATATCTGCCTTCAAAATGCACACAGTTGGTAAACTTTCTGCAAATTTCAGGTGTTCTTCCTGTTGATATTGCTGAGCAAGGAGCTCTAGCCCTATCTTTTGACTTGCCTCTTCGAAGGGCGCTAATTATTTGGACACCCGGTGGGTAACACTGGAAGGGGGACAAAGAGCGGGGCTGGTGAAGGTTAGAAGTAAAATCCAGCTGGGTTCTGTGGGCTGAATGAGAGAGGTCTGCCAACAGTGGGGCGGGTATAGTGGTTTATAGTTTTGCAAGAAGCTTAGTCCTTTAGGATGGTGTAAACCAAGATATTAAAAAATGTGAACAAGGACTCTTACAACTAAGAGGCAGAATGTAAACTCTTTAAAATAAAAATTAGCTGTGGCCATAGATGGTTGAGAATTTAGATGATAACACTATAAACCAAGTGTAGACTAGGCTTCGCTAGCCAGTCATTGACTCCCTATGATTCCATCTCCTCACTGGAGTACTAGAATTTACTCTGTCCTTATTAGTGTTTACTCTGTCCTTACTAAAGTTTACTGTGGTCCTTGCTCACAAGAAAGTGCTCTCCTGAACTGTCCTTTGGAGCTAATGTGTTTGCCTTGTATCTAACAATCTATTGTAGCTCACTTCTCTTGAGCACTTCCTGTGTCACATTCTGTGCCAGGGTGTTAATCTCATTTGATTCTCACAAACTCTCATTATCCCCAATTTACAGGTAGCTAAGCAACATCCCTGGGCTGCTCAATCAGTAAATGGCTAGGACCCACTGCAGCCTGACTTGAGTATCCAGAGGTCTTCTCTGGACTAACCCCCTCCTCCTTTTTGACTTAGACACATCATTGTTGTTGGCCTCATCTTTGACAGGGGTGGGGTGTGGAGGAGGGGAGAGAGAAAGAGATGTTCTCTTTGATGGAGTAAAATTGCAGCTGAACCTTATCACCTGCCGTCTTTACTCATCTTTTTCTTTCCTCTTGACTAAATACCTAATTAACTCAGGTAGCCTCCTCTGATTAAAATGAGAGACGGATTTGTTACTTGACTATTATTTTTCCATAAAGCTTCCAAATTGTTGAGATAAAATTGTGTAGAATTATAACTGGGAAAGAACAAGGTGCTTTAATGGTGAATGCTTATTTTTAAATATTGCTGAATATTAGAGAAAAATGTAAACATTTACAACTCGTTTCACAAAATGTGGTATTTGTAATAAGAATTTGTGTATGATAAACATTATATAGTATTCAACTTTCTGCAACTCCCACTGATTCCATTTGTGCCTGGAGTTCTCCAAACACATGGCATAGCCTGATCAGGAATGACCAGAACTGTGGTTTTTCATTAAGCTTATTTGAAGGGGATATTCTAAAGCTGATGCTTCCTCCTTATAAATGTAAAGATATTGCTGGTAGTTTTGGAATCATCACTTCTGTAGAGTTTTAGTTTAAAATATTTATTATGTTCTTTAAAAAAACAAACAAAAAAACCCCCCAAACCCCCAACTTTCTATTGGCAAAAACATCTGCTTGACCAGAACACAGTTTCTCTGACCATATTGGATATTTTTTGTAGTGTAGAAGTGTTAAAAATATGAGCTATTCATACGATAATTACAATTCATACTCGTCTTGGGGATGTTGACAGATGACACAAGATTAATGGGTAAAATTTATAATGTATTATAAAAATGAAGACCGTGACCCCACCATGGGGGGGGGCGGTGGGTAGGGAAAGCTGTATACTCACTAGCTCTGATGCAGACCCATGATGTCAAGTCAAGGGCTGGCTAAGAGATGGATGGACCCATGGGTGTCAGGGTTGCTGGCATAGCCTTCACAGAACAAGATACAATTGAGACTGGAGTGTGAGTCCCCCAGCTTAGGCTCCATCATCTCTCCAAAGAAGGAGGCCTTGCCAAAATATGGTCCCCGAGTCCATAGATCTCTGCAGGTCTGTAAGTGAGGCCAGTAGTCTTTGATGCTGCCCTGCTGAGCATCTGAAGCCCTGATTTATCAGATTTTCTGTTTTCCTGCTGGGAGTTTTCATCATTAGCCCCTTGCCAAACAAGAATGGGAATAGAGGAATAAGGAACTCTATACTCATGTGAACCTTTAAGGAAATTGCCACCTAAAATCACTACTATTTACCCTAATGCTATGCCTTGAGGGCACCAAACCATCTTGCCAGGAGAAAAGGGCTGAAAAAGTGGCAGCTGTGCATGCTGGATGCCTCTAGTGTATGGGTGGGCCTTTGAGCCTACACGAAGCCCTGAAGCAGGGACAGTAGGAAATAAGTTCTCTGGCTTCCCACAGTTCCATAAGGTCCCAAGGGACTTTTGCAGCTTGATGCCAACACATCTCCAAGTCCACCTACTCTCTGAAATGACAAGTAGTCTTTTCCTAGGCACCAATCCTGTCACTAAACCAGCACATCGCTTCCCGTGCCAAGACCTCCCTGTTACCACCCAGTGGTAACTACCCTTCTGAGTAATGTCATATGTACATGTCCTTCTGCGCATGGAATCTGAAAGGGAAGATCCAAAAGAAAGGGACAGGACAGGAGAACATAGTTTTGGATCCTATTTTGATGGGTCTTTAAAAAAATCCTTCCTAGTCCATCAGATCACACACCATCTCAGCAACTATGTTGGTTAGTATGTGTGCTGCTAGTGAATTGGGCATCAGAAAAACTGAGTGACCTTCATAGTTTCCCAACCATGAAGCTCCTAGGAGCTCACCAGGCATATCCATGTGCTGTTCCAGACTCTGGGCCATAGATGGGAGGATAGCAGTAAGAAAAAGGCAGGGGCTCTGAATCACTCTTTGGGCTCCCAGAGTCATCCAAAGGAAAGGGAATGCTGTGACCCAAGGGTGGAGATAGCAAAAGAGGGCCTGGCTTTCTCAGAATTGACCAAAGGCCTGCAATTCTATAAAAGCTGGCCTGAGCCATCTGTGACCACAGTGAGAGCAGTTCCTCTTTTAGGATTTTCCGGGCTCATTCTTAGGAGCCCCCAGTTCTTTCCTTTGTCTGAGACACTTCCTAGATGCTCTCCCTGGACCCTACAGCAAAGCATGGTGCTTTGAGGCTCCCTCTAGCTTTCCAGTTTTCCAGTGTGTGGGGTTTTCCTCAGAGGGCTCTATTCCTCCTGGCCACAGTGCTGACCTTGCTGGCTGTGAAGTCCTCAGTCACTTGCCCCAAGGACCTGGACCCACCCTCCAGGATAATCAGTTCACCTCTGGGTCCCATTTTAAGGAAACCACGAGGAAACAGGGGAAATTACAGAGAACATAAAATTTAGAGAATCCAAGGAGGATAACAATGAAAAGAGGATGGAGACAGAGAAACCACCATAAGGCAATAGGGCAAAAAGTCTGGAAAGAGTCAGGGTGAAAGCTGGGCCTGAGTTTTCCATATGACTGCATATGGCCATGGGCAACTTCATCTCCTTCATCTAGTCTTTTTATCTGTTCAGCTACAACTTCACTGGGTTGTTGTGAGGATTAAATAAGGTAACACATATGAAAAAGTATCTGGTACATGCTGTGTGCTCAAAATGGTTAATTTACCTTCCCTTCTTGAAAATCTCCATGGTCAAAGATTTTAGTTTCCCCTCAGAAACCTCTTTATCCTTATGTAAGGGCTCCATAAACTAAGAGGGTCTTCCAAATGTCCACTTAGAGTTGCTCATATTTTGCTTTGTCTGCTTCCTGTTGCTCTGCATTTTGTGGGATAGAGAGCTCAGCAGCTTTTTTCAGAAAATCCTTCACACACTTCAAGAACATATTTTGAGCTTTAGCTGAATAGCAACCAATCCTACATGGAGACTAGAAGAAGGTACCACTACTAGAAGAAGTGGGATGTAAGAGAGGCCCAACCTCTGAATTAGGATTGTTTACGGTGCATGATGAAATGGTAAAAGCCATCTGACTACTTTATGGGGTCTGATGGACACTTTGTGAGTGTTGGCTTTATGCTGAGCATTGTGCTGTTTGCTTTAAACACATTTACATGTTATAGGAACTCTATGAGGTAGTTACTGTGATTGTTCTTTTCCTCCACTGAATTTCCTAGATGGAGAAACTGAGGCTAACATTCACACAGCTAGGAAGGTGCTGGGGCCAGTAAGTGGGCCGGTGTTTGTATTTGGACAAAATGGTAGTCCTTCTCTAGTGTGTGAGGATGCCGAACCCCATGCTCCGCAATAAATCGGATTTATCTGAGACCTGAGGGATTAGCTTCAGGAATTTGTCAGTTGGTAAAGAATATGAAGTTCTGGAAAAAGCTACTGAGGAAGGCAATGCAGTGTCTTTTCTTGAATACTCCACCATGTGGCACCCCCTTGGGACTATGGACCCTTACTATCCATGAAAAGATTGACTCTTGCAATCTTTCAGGGTGTATGTGTAACAATTTTCTACAACTTTACCATTCCAACTCTTGTTAATGCAGGGGGGGAAATGTTTATAAATCTGTTAGAGTAGCTGTAGAGTAGTTTGGAAAGTAGAAGCATGTGCTGTTTTACAAGCAATAGATGAGAAGTGTGTTTACCTACTGAATATACTAATTGAAATTTTCTTTAGGTCAGGCTGCAAAGTACCATGTGTTTAGTGCTATAAGTGATGGAAGCAGGTGTGTGTATTGGTGGTGCTATGGACAGAGGTGGCCAAGGAATCTTTCTGAGTATTAAGCTAGTTTCTCCCCTGTGACCAGGGCAACACTGTCGCCAACTCGAGTTTTCTTGTACAGAGAGATAGCTCTTTTGTTTTCACTTGAGGAGTGACTTTACTCTGGGACCGAGCGCAGAGCTTATATTTGAATTATGAAAATGAACACTTACAAGTAAGGGCCAATCTAAAAAAACCAGCAAGTGGTGAAGGGTTAGCATATATATTAGAATAAAAAAAAGAACGATGCACATTTCCAGAACTGTGATGGCTATATACGGCTCATAGGCTTTGGCAATGATGAAACAAATTAATGCTCCTAGGATAAGACCCTGCAATAAAAGAAACAGGATTTGTTTTAATGCACATGGGCTAGTAAAAAACAAAGCAAACCCATAGACTGTTAGAATATAAATCTGATTATATTGCACTTGCCTCTTTTGCTTTGCACATACATTTTATTGGTCAAATTTCTCATATTTCCAACCAATGAAATAATACATGGAAACAATAAAAGTGCACATTAAGTATGGAAGAATGAAAAATAACTCGTTTCTTTCTTCTCCCTCAACCCAACCCTAGTCTAGCTCCTGAAAAGTAACCACTGTTCACAGTGTATATTTCATATTGGAAAGAAGTATATACAAGGATATATGGATTTTGATAGAAAGAAGTAGAACTCCCCACTTTTCTCTTTCCAAGTGGTTGATGATTATCCCAACATCATTTATTGGGAAACACCAGCATTATCCCCTCTTATCTGAAATTCAACCTTTATCATGTACTAAATTAGTAGAAACTATCTTTTTTTTTTTTTTTATCTATCTATGATAGTCACACACACACAGAGAGAGAGGCAGAGACACAGGCAGAGGGAGAAGCAGGCTCCATGCACCGGAAGCCCGATGTGGGATTCGATCCCGGGTCTCCAGGATCGCGCCCTGGGCCAAAGGCAGGCACCAAACCGCTGCACCACCCAGGGATCCCAGTAGAAACTATCTTGTTCTAAATTGCTTCCCAGTTGATTTTGAGTTTTTTAGAAATACAGTGATATCAATTGAAAAAAATGATATATTTTGCCTTTTCTTTTCAACCATTATTTTTCCTGTCTAATTGTGATGATTAGCAGTTCCAGAAAATACTGAATAGCAGTATTGATAAGGGCATCCTCTTTGTTCCTCATTTAATGGGAATACTTCTGATGTTTAATTATATATGATGCTGACTTTTGGGTTTATTTTTATAATGTCAATAAAGTACCTATGTATTCCTATTTTAATGGTCTTTCTTTTTTTTGCAATCAGAGGTGAAGGTTAAATTTTGTCAAATGTGTTCTTTTTTTTTATTTTTTATTTTTTTTTTTTGTCAAATGTGTTCTTTTCCTTATTTGATATAATCTCCTAATTTGTTCTCCTTTTACCTATAATATGTTGGGTTAGTTTAATAAAGTCCTAATATTGAATCATCACAGTATATTTTTTAAAAGTACTAAAGAAAATTTTCTGCTAATATATTAACACTCGTGATGGGAGAACAGAAGACTAGCTGAGGACAAGGCATAAGCTCAGGATAGCACATTGACAAATTCTTGAAACAGGCAGAGGGACATTCATTCCTCTAGGGATTCAACTGCCTTGATGTTTATACTTTGCTAAGGGCAAAAGGCCATCTTAGACCCCCAGGATCCTGTAAGTCAACTTTAACATATAAAAACTCCTTTAGAAATTTCCTTTATCTCTAAACCCTTCAAGATACTGTTGGCAATCATCCCCCAAGCACATGACCCTCAGATATACATCTGAAGGGTCTCCTGACTCAGGTTTTATTAGACAGTAATGAATGACTTTTTCCCAACAATAGCTGGCCCACTCAGGGTCCTGGAAACCTTGCTTCCAAAATTCCTTAGGGAGTATACTATCCTCAAACCCCTCCCAACTCCCAGGTATATAATCAGTCACTTCTCACAGGCCTGGGGCAGCAGCTCTTCCTGCCCATGGGTCCTGTCCCTGTGCTTTAATAAAACCACCATTTTGCACCAAAGATGTCTCAAGAATTCTTTTTTGGTCATTGGCTCCAGACCTCACCTATATTCCAAAACTTGATCAATTGTTGCTTTGATACAAGTGAAATTTCTATTTTCTTTTTCTGACTTGGTCAGTTTTTGATATCAGTGCTATACTACTTTGAAAAAATAATTCAGAAGGGCTTCTTTTCTCCATTCTTTGAAAAAGTTTCAATAGTATCAGAATTACATCCTATTGAAAGTTTGAAAGAGTTAATGTATAAAAAAATCTGGCCCTGATATATTTTTGAAAGATACTCATTTGACTAATTCTCATTTTACTCTGTGTTTACATCGGTCTGGTTAGGTTTTTCTCAATTCTGGGGTCAGTTTTGATAATTATATTTTCCTAGAAAATAAGCTATTTCATTTAGGTTTATTTGTTTTGCAAAATACTCCTAGGGATCCTCTCAGTTTCTTCATCCTTTGTGATTATTTTCCCTGTCGGGTGCATAACTTTAAATATATGTCTTCTCTTCACCCTTTTTTCCCTGTTATACTGGCCACTGGTTTTGGACAGTTCTATCAATTTTGGACAGTTCTGAGTTTTGTATGCTATTTTATACATTTCTGCTCTTATCTTCACTGTTTCCCTAATTCCCTTTGTGAGGGGAAATGTGAGAAATATAAAGTAAGACCGGCAAAGGAGCGCTGGTTTAGTAATAAGGGTAGAGTGGGGTAAGGAGCAAGGGAAGAAGGGAAATAAAGGCGAGGCAAATGGAAGTCGGAAAGCTTTCCGCAGGTGGCGCCCCCTGAGACTCACTCCCCAAGGCTGCACCCACCCTGCAGCACCAGCTCTTTTTACTCACCAGCCTCAGGATCTTCAACATCCCCTTGGGCGAGAAGAAAAAACGCTTGAAGCTGTCCCTGAATTTGAGCGGGACTTTGGCCCGTCCTTCAGCACGCTGTTGGATGGAGGACTTCTCTTGGCCCTTGGGTATCCTTGAGGCTGCACCCTGCTGCATCCTGGGTCCTGTATTCTCCGGTTGCTTGGATGCCCCTTGGCGAGAGGGTGCCGCGGTCCCTGGGCGAGAGGGTGCCGCCGTCCCTGGGCGAGAGGGTGCCGCCATCCCAGGGCGAGAGGGCGCCACGGTCCCAGGGCGAGAGGGCGCCGCCCCAGGGCGAGAGGGCTCCGCCCCCGACCCAGAGCGTGAGGGTTGCACCGTCCGCCCAGGGCGTGGTGGCACCGGAGCTGTGGAAGCTCCTGGGCGTGTGGGACGCTGCTGTTGCAAGCTCCCTGTGGGGTTCTTGGTGGTTTTGGCATCCATGGTGGGCCCCGGGGCCTGGCTGTGTCAGGCTGGCCCTGCTGCTCTGAGCCTGCACAGCGGCGTCAGTCTGTCCCCTGGGAACCAGCAGCGTGCCCCCAACGGCCGCCTATCCCTCGCGCGCACTCAGCTCTCGCTGCCGCACTCAGCTCTCGCTGCCCGAGTACAAACCCGACCCTCTGGCCACCCTCGTCACTACCTGATTGCGATGCCACTGCCTAGCCTGGAACTTATTATCCCTGCAACTTCACTCCCCCATGCTGCCAGCAAGCCAAGGAAGGGGGCTCCGGAGACCATTTAGGGAGGTCCGGGTGCATTCTTCTCTGCCACCCAGGCCCAGGAGGAGGAAAATCCAACCCGATCAGGTCCTGGTGCTACTGGCGCTCACTTGGAAGTGACAGTATTGGTGAGCGCTGGGCAGATTTCCCACATCTCTTCTTCCAGTTTCCATATTGAGATTAAAAGAACAACCACAGGAAATAGGTGGAAGAATAAAAAAATATATTTAATACTTAGGATCAACTAAAAAGTAATATAAAATTACAAAACTTTTATATTTTGTCATGAATAGTACGTTTCTGATAAGGACCACTTGGATTAAATAGAAGCTTCCGGTAAATAAGGACCCCATCGGCAATACAGCACACTGCTACTAGGAGTCCAAACACCTGGAAACAAACACACTTTGTCACTGCTGTCCCGGCGGTCTGGACCTCCATCATTCACACAGGTTTTATTTGGCCCGCCCACTGGCTTCCTCTCCTGCTAGGATATTGAGATTGCTCCATCCACTTCCACCTAATGCTAAACTGGGAGGAAACTTCAAGGATCCTTTTATTCTCATTCTCAAGTTCCCTAGCTGCCTAGAGAAAGGGAAAAGAGAACTTAGGTGAGCAGAAATAATACTGAAGTGGTGTGGGCTCTGAAATTAATACTTGTCTGGATCTCTTGACCTGCCCTCAATGTTCAACTGCCTTTCTTATTACAAACTCTACTGAAGAAAGGGCCAAAGTTAACACCAGCTCAAGATTAAATCATTGCAACTGTAGCTGTGATAAACACTTTTGAGAACTGGAATGATAAGATGATCCAAAGTGAACTCTTAAAGGCTAGGCTACATCCACTTAAGAGTGGGATTCTAAAGAGGCCTCAGGAGAAAAAAAAAGGTAAAGGGAATAAACTAGAACCTGGTCTTTAGGTACTCTGAAGGCTATCTGAGAGCTGGCACCCGGGCTAGAAAAGAAGAATATACCTTGCATGCTATTTGGTCAGTTCCATCCAATGGCCAGGAAGTCTGGCCTCTTGTCTCTAGATACCATTCCATTTTCCATCCTGAATCTCAAACTCAGCTTCCTAGGTTCTGACCACAAAAAGTACCTCCTACCTATCCTTCCATAACTCTGGTACTCTGCATGTTGCTGGTTCTTCTACCTGGAAACATCTCCCTTGTCTACCCTTTATTCCTAGGAAGTTGCATTTCTACTGACAGAGCAAGGTAGCTGCTTTCTCTTTTTTGTGGCCTGCAGTACTCTATCAATGGCTTATATACAGTTGTTTGCATTTCTGTTCTCTGTATTAGGCTCTAAGCAATTTGAGGATAAGGTGGGCTCATGTTCTAGTCCATGCTGTCAAAAGAAATATAATGTGAGTCACCAATGTAAGCCACATAATTTAAAATTTTCTAATAGCACATTAAAAAGAACAAAAAACAAGTGAAATTAATTTTAATAACATATTTTGTTTAGTCTAGTATATCCAAAATATAATTTTAATATGTCATCAATATCATAAATTATTATGAAATGTTATACAGTTTTTGGTAAGTCATTGAAATCCAGTGTGTATTTTAAATGTATAGATCATCTCAATCAGACCAGCCACATTCCCAGGGCTCAGTAGTCATATGTGGCTAGTGGATACTGCACTGGACAGCACAACTCTATATTTTGTCAGCATCTACTAAAGTGCATATTTTTAAACAATGAATCAGTGAATGAATAAGCAAATGAGTAAAAGTACAGTTGACCTTTGAACAACATGGGTTTGAACTGCATAGGCCTCTTACATATGAATTTTTTTCCAGTAATTATAGTACAGTACTGTAAATGTATTTTCTCTTATGATTTTCTTAATAACATTTTCTTTTCTCTAGCTTACTTTATTGTAAGATACAATGTTTGATATATATATAATATAGAAAATATGTGTTAACTGTTTTTATTTTCAGTGCTTCTTGTCAGCAGTAGGCTATTAGTAGCTAAGTTTTTGGGAAGTCAGAGTTTAAAAAGTTTCAAGTGTGTGTGTGGGGACTGATGTTCAAGGGTCAGTTGTAAATCCTATGCCTTGTTCCTCTTTCTCCATAGTAGAGGGATAAGATTATCTTTTTTTATTCGTAAGTTAAAAAAAAATATTTAAGAGGCGGGGCAAGATGGCAGAAGAGTAGGGTCCCCAAATCACCTGTCCCCACCAACTTACCTAGATAACTTTCAAATCATCCTGAAAACCTACAAATTCGACCTGAGAGTTAAAGAGAGAACAGCTGGAATGCTACAGAGAGAAGAGTTTGCGCTTCTAATAAGTACAACTCGTTTTTAGCCACTCTTCACTGAGCAAAATGACTAGAAAGAAGAACTCACCACAAAAGAAAGAATCAGAAATGGTACTCTCTGCCACAGAGTTACAGAATTTGAATTAAAATTCAATGTCAGAAAGTCAATTAGGAAGTACAATAATAAAGCTACTGGTGGCTCTGGAAAAAAGCATAATGGATTCAAGAGACTTCATGACTGCAGAATTTAGATCTAATCAGGCCGAAATTAAAAATTAATTAAATGAGATGCAATCCAAACTGGAGGTCCTAACGATGAGGGTTAATGAGGTAGAAGAAAGAGTGAGTGACATAGAAGACAAGTTGATGGCAAGGAAGGAAGCTGAGGAAAAAAGAGAAAAAGAAAAAGACCACGAGGAAAGGTTAAAGGAAATAAATGACAGCCTCAGAAGGAAAAAAATCTATGTTTAATTGGTGTTAGGGACAGAGGACCAGAAAGCATATTTGAACAAATCATAGCTGAGAACTTCCCTAACTTGGAGAGAGAAACAGGCATTCAGATCCAGGACATAGAGAGAGTCCCCCCACCCTCAATCAATAAAAAGCATTCAATACCTCAACATTTAATAGTGGAACTTGCAAATTCCAAAGACAAAATCCTTAAAGCAGTAAGAGACAAGAGATCACTAACTTATATGGGGAGAAATGTTAGATTAACAGCAGACCTCTCCACAGAGACCTGGCAGGCCAGAAAGGGCTGGTAGGATATATTCAGGGTCCTAAATGAGAAGAATATGCAGCCAAGAATACTCTATCCAGCAAGGCTCACATTTAGAATAGAAGGAGAGATAAACAGCTTCCAATATAGGCAGAAACTGAAAGAATATGTGACCACCAAACCATCTCTGCAAGAAATATTAAGGGAGACCCCGTAAAAGAAAGAGGAAGCCCAAAGAAATAATCCACAAAAACAGGGACTGAATAGGTATTATGATGACACTAAATTCACATCTTTCAATAGTAACTCTGAATGTGAATGGGCTTAATTATCCCATCAAAAGACTCAGGGTTTCAGACTGGATTAAAAAAACAAGACCCATCTATTTGCTGTCTACAAGAGACTCATTTTAGACCTAAGGACACCTCCAGCCTGAAAATGAAAGGCTGGAGAACCATTTACCATTCAAATGGTCCTCAAAAGAAAGCTGGAGTAGCAATCCTCATACCAGATAAATTAAAGTTTACCCCAAAGACTGTAGTAAGAGATGAAGAGGGACACTATATCATACTTAAAGGATCTATCCAACAAGAGGACCTAACAATCATGAATATTTATGCCCCTAATGTGGGAGCTGCCAAGTATATCAATCAATTAATAACCAAAGTAAAGACATACTTAGATAATAATACACTAATACTGGGAGACTTCAACACAGTGCTTTCTGCAAATGACAGATTTTCTAAGCATAACATCTCCAAAGAAACAAGACCTTTAAATGATACACTGGACCAGATGGATTTCACAGATATTTACAGAACTTTACATCCAAACTCAACTGAATACACATTCTTCTCAAGTGCACGTGGAACTTTCTCTAGAATAGACCACATACTGGGTCACAAATCAGGTCTTAACCCCTGCATATTTTCAGACCATAATGCTTTGAAACTTGAACTCAATCACAAGAAGAAATTTGGAAGAAATTCAAACACGTGGAGGTTAAAGATCATCCTGCTAAAAGATGAAAGGGTCAACCAGTAAATTAGAGAAGAATTGAAAAGATTCATGGAGGGAGATCCCTAGGTGGCTCAGTGGTTTAACATCTGCCTTCAGCCCAGGGCGTGATCCTGGAGTCCTGGGATCAAGTCCGGCATCGGGCTCCCTGCATTGCATGGAGCCTGCTTCTCCCTGTGCCTCTCTCTCTCTCTGTCTCTCTCATAAATAAATAAAATCTTTTTTAAAAAAATATTCATGGAAACTAATGAGAATGAAGATACAACCATTCAAAATCTTTGGGATACAGCAAAAGCAGTCCTGAGAGGGAAATACATCGCAATACAAGCATCCCTCAAAAAATTGGAAAAACCTTAAATACAAAAGCTAACCTTGCACCTAAAGGAACTGGAGAAAGAACAGCAAATAAAACCTACACCCAGCAGAAGAAGAGAGTTAATAAAGATTCGAGCAGAACTCAATGAAATAGAGACCAGAAGAACTATGGAACAGATCAACAAAACCAGGAGTTGGTTCTTTGAGAGAATTAATAAGATACATAAACCATTAGCCAACCTTATTATAAAGAAAAGAGAAAAGACTCTAGTTAATAAAATCACAAATGAAAAAGGAGAGATCACAACCAATACCAAGGAAATACAAGCAATTTAAAAAACATATTATGAGCAGCTATCCACCAATAAATTAGGCAGTCTAGAAAAAATGGACGCATTTCTGGAAAACCACAAACTACAAAACTGGAACAGGAAGAAACAGAAAACCTGAACAGGCCAATAACCAGGGAGGAAATTGAAGCAGCCATCAAAAACCTCCCAAGACACAGAAGTCCAGGGCCAGAGGGCTTCCCAGGGGAATTCTATCAAACATTTAAAGAAGAAACAATACCTATTCTACTAAAGCTGTTCCGAAAGGTAGAAAGGGATAGAATACTTCCAAACTCGTTCTATGAGGCCAGCATCAACTTAATTCCAAAACCAGACAAAGACCCCACAAAAAAGGAGAATTATAGACCAATATCCCTGATGAACACAGATGGAAAAATTCTCAACAAGATACTAGCCAATAGGATCCAACAGCACTTTAAGAAGATTATTCACCATGACCAAGTGGTATTTATGCCTGGGATGCAAGGCTGGTTCAACACTCGTAAAGCAATCAACATGATAGATCATTATCAACAAGAGAAAAAACAAGAACCATATGATCCTCTCAATAGATG